AGTACCTCCAATACTATGTCAAAAAGAAGGAACTAGCGTGAGCATGCTTGCCTTGTGCCAGATCTTAAAGAAAAAGTTTGTTTCTCTCCATTAACTGTGATGTTAGCTATGGTTTTTTCATAAATGGCTTTTATTATGTTAAAAAATTTTCTTTGTATACCTAAATCCTTAGAAGTTTTTATTAAGAAATGACATTGAAATTTGTTGAATGCTTTTGCTGAATCAATTGATATGATCATGTGGTTTTTGCCTTTTATTCTATTAATATGATGTATCACATTCATTGATTTGCATTTGGTAAACCAGCTTTGCATACCAGGAATAAATTCCACTTGACCATGATGCATAATTTATCTTATGTGCTGTTGAATTTGATTTGCTAATATGTTATTGAGGAATTTTGCATTAATGTGCATAAGAGATATTTGCCTGTGGTTTTATTTTCTAGTGGTATCTTTGGCTCACATATGATAGTCATGTGGGCCTCGTAAAATGTGTTAGGAAGTATTCTACTGTTTGGAAGAGTTTTAAAAGTATTAATATTAATTCTTCTTTGAAAGTTTTGTAGAATCCAAATGTAAAGCCATCTGGTCCTGGGCATGTTGTGGGGGGAAGCTGGGGAGTCTTTTAATTACAGCTTTTATTTATTCTTTTGTTATAGGTCTCTTCAGGCTTTATATTTCTTTTTGATTCAATCCTGTTAGGTTGTAATTTTCTAGGAATGTATCCATTTTTTGAGGCTATCAAACTTATTGGCATATAATTTTTCTAATAGTTTAAGATCCTTTTTGTTTCTAAGAAATCTGTTGTAATACATCCAATTTTACTTCTGATTTTGCATATTTGAATCTTCTCTCTTTGTTTCTTAGGTAATTTAGCTAAGATTTTGGTAATTTTGTGTATTTTAAAAAATAACCATTAGTTCCATTGCTATTTTTGTATTATAGGTTTTCTATTCCTTATTTATTTATTTTCTGTTATTTACAATTTTATTCATTTTGCTAACTTTTGATTTAGTTTGTTTTTTTTTTTTCCTAGTTCCTTGAGGCATAATGTTAGGCCGTTCATTTGAGAAACTATTTTTTTTTTTTTTTTTTCATTTTTTTCTTCATTTCTGAAGGACAGATATAATGGATATAGTATTCTTGGTTGACAGTTTTTGTTCTGTTTTGTTTTCTCAGCACTTTGAATAAAACATCTCATTGTCTCCTGGCCTGCAAGGTTTCTGCCGAGAAATGTTCTGATAGTATAAATGATTTTCTGCTATGTCACGTGACACTTTTATCTTGCCACTTGTCAAATTATCTTTGTCTTTGACTTTTGATAGTTTAATAATAATGTGCCTCAGAGAGGACCTTTTTGGGTTGAATCTGTTTGAGATATTTGAATTCCATGGATCTGGATGTTTATATTTCTTCCAAGACTTGGGTTTTTTTCAGCAATTATTTCACTAAATAAGCTTTTTGACCTTATCTTTGTGTCTCTTCTTTCTAGAACTCCCATGATGTGAATATTTATTTACTTAATTGTGTCCCAGGAGTTTCATATGCTATTTTTATTATTTTTTATTCTTCTTTCTTTTCTCCTGTCACTGAGTAATTTCAAAAGACATTTCTTTAAGTTCATAGGTACTTTCTTATGCTAGATCTAGTCTATTGATGAAGTTCTTGATGATATTTTACGTTATAGTCATTGAATTCTTCAGCTTCAAGATTTGTGTTTGGTTCTTTTCTATGATATTTATCTCTTTGTTAAATTTCTCATTTAAAACATGAACTGTTTTTCTTATTTTTTGAAATTGCCTTTTTGTATTCTCTTTTATCTTGTTGGGTTTTCTTAAGAGTATTATTTTGAGTTTTTTTTGGGGGGGGCAATTTGTAAATTTTCTTTAAAGTTCAGCTACTGGAGAATTATTGTGTTTCTTTAGGGGTGTATGCTTCTTTTCTTTTTAATGTGGTTTGTGCCCCTATGTTGATGTCTGTATATCCAGTAGAAAAATTACAACACCTCTCCAAATTTTAGAGTGGCTTTCACAGAAAAAGATTTTCACCTTCAGATGAAAGATGCCAGATGGAAAGGGTATGTTGACTGTTTCTGAGTGGATGGGTCTCAGGGCACAGGTTCAGTTTCTGAGTCAGTGTGGGATGCAGATTGCCTACAAAGCTAGGGTCTGTGACTCTGAGCACCCCCAGCAGCTCAGGCTCTGGGGGACAAGTTTTAGCTCTAATTCTGTCCCTGAAGGGCAGGGTATAGCACTGCCCTGTCTCCAGGGAAAAGAGGATTCTCTGAAGATTTGAGCACAAGCAGCAGGGTACAGCTGGAATTTGAGAATGAGATCCAACAGGGCGCCATGGCTACTCGGTCACCAGAAGATGCAGCATCACATAATAGTGACACTGGATCTAAGACGGTGGGATACAGCAGTATTTTCAGCTTCAGTGGCAGCAATAAACCCAGAATGGCAGAGAAAGCTATGACTTGAGCCCTCGGGTACAGGGGACAGCTCAGTGATGATTCCATTCCCTGGGTAGGAGGTTGTGTGAGCAGCTCAGACTCTAGGGTGTTATTCTAATCCCAGAGCAACGGGGTATTACAGCAGTTTGGCTATATGGGAGTGTGTCTCTGCTTAGTCAATACTCTGTTTCCCTGGGATGTGGGGTACCATGTCAGGTAAGTTCTGGGATGCACAGAATGCTTGACTTGGCCAAAGCACCAATTCCCCATGAGTCAGGGTTCCATTTCAGCTCAAGCACAGGAAGGGTGTGAATGCTCTGGGCAGCTAAGTAACGTTTCCCTGTGAGGCAGCACACTGCTTCAGCTCAGTCCCTGAGGGTCATGGCACAGCAGTAGCTGAGAAAAGCAGATAAATGGCTTCATGGCAACTTGTCCCCATATGTTAGCATATAGTATAAGCTTGGCCCACGAGTGATGAGCCATGAGGTGAGGGTGGTTCAGAGGTGACAAAGCCTAACTGATGGAAGGGTATCTTGATTATTTGTCCCAGAGCAATGTTTATGGCTCCAAGATGGTGTAGTATGATAGTGGCTTGGGCCATGCTGGGTGGTAGGAGTGGGATGGACACAGTATTGATGCCTTCTCTGGGTCGGGGGGTGGGGTGCAGCTGTGTGCATCCCAGGCAGCTCCCTCAGCTGGGCTTAGTGCTTGTGAGAATTGCAGTAGTCCCTACTGTGAGGATTGTAGGTACTCAAGGTGGTGGTGGGGGATGATGGGGTCCTCTTGCTTACCTTTTCCCTATAGGAAGAATTTCCCCTTGGTTCCAAGCTGATTCCATCTGGGTGATGGAGTGACAGAGGTGAGATGTTTCCTTCTGTTCTTTGTGTGGCTATCCTGGGTTTCTTTGATCTACAAAGTTTCTGCTATTTCTTTCGTGTACTCCAGTGCTTTCCTTCCGTTATTTTCATCAGAATGTACTCATTGTTTCTGCTGTCTTTGTAGGGGAGATGAGTGCTGGGGGCTTCTAACTGTCCATTTTGCTCTCAATCATTTTTTTTTGGGAAGTGTTTTATTAGGCTTACTTTTAAAAATTTGTGTTTTCTTAACTCCTTTGTTTTCTTTTGAGATAGATAATCATGTTTTCTGCAAGAGTAATATTTTCCTATCATTCTCACATGTCCTATATGTATTAGTTTGTATAATCAAATTAACTAGAAGCAGAAGCAGTAGCCACAGTGGCCTCCTTGTCTTGTTTCTCATTTTAATGGACTCTCCATTAATGTTTTATCAGCACACATATTGTGTTTTGGTTCTTATTAGATATGCTGAGGTAAATTTTGTTTCTATTCTTAGGATATTAAGTATTTTTAATAAAGAAACTTTAATCCGAAGACAAGTGTTTCAGCTTTGAGAAAAACAATTTTGTAATGATTATTGCTTAATTTGTTTGGGATAAGATAAAAAGTGGGAGATACCTAATTGACCAAGTTGTTACAGTGACAGTTTAAAAATTGATTACAGTAACGGTTGCACAAATGCTTCCTTCTCTTTGTACTCATACCTTTTTAATTACTTTTTCTTCAAAACTGAGGTGACTTTAATGTTGCTATTACTTCAATAGTACCACAAATAGTTAACTAACACCTATAAAGTACATACTACATGCTGGGCACTATTCCATGTGAGATATATATATATATATACCAATTTTTCCTCAAGGTATATATCATTTGGTAGAGATATTATTGTCTTTATTGTAGAAACATTGAACCAGTTATAGTAAAGAAAAAGTAATATTTTCAAAACCATCCAGCTGATTATTGGCTGTAATGGAAGGTATCGGGTGATGATGGCACCTTAGCCAAATGCCTCTCAAAACCCCTCCCCATTTAAATCTCAGATAATTATTTCCTCTATTATATTGCTGCATATCACCAAGAGATGAACTTCTGTTTCTCTCCAGTTTGTTTTTCATTTTTTCTCATGCATAATAATGATCTATGTTTGGATTTGTGTCTTTTGGATCCACCATTTATTATTTTCTGCTATATGTAGCAGTGGTAGTATCCAGCAGCAAATCTTCTTGATAGCACTGGTGGTACCTATGGGGCATCCAAACAAGAGTATTTCTTCATCACAATCTTGGCTGTGGTTCCCCTACAAAGCTTCTGTTGTTTTCTGCCCATTTTCTTAGCAGGTACCCCATCATGCCAGCTAATTCTGTGAGCTACCCAACATTCTTTCAACAAATTTATATTCTCCTTTTATTAGCTAGAACTGCTTTTTCTGCTCACATCCAAGATTTTTAACTGAGAGAGAAACTGTTACCTGGGGATGGGGTGCATCAGATACTTTCAAGGAAATGTGGAAACTGTTAAATTGTTCATCTGGCATAGCTGGGGCAGAAACCAGTCAAAATCTTGCTTAAATGCCAATGCAGAAATTCAGTAATAGTGAAAAAGCTAATCAAATTGTTGTCTGTAGTCACCTGGCATCAGGTGCTCATTGCAGTGATGGCTTTTGAGAATTAAGGTGCCCCCACCACAGAATTGAGTTGCCCCCACCACAGAATAGTGGGGTGTACATGAAGAATTTATGGACTTAGAGAAAGGGCAGCTGTTTTGAACATCAATGGACAGCTTAAGGAAACAGAATGACAAGTTAAAATCCTTGAATTCTAGGCTCACAGCACTGACTGAAATCCAGGGAGTTTCTAGGATCAAGATAAAAGGATCTCTTATCTTTTGTTGCTGCAGGGACTGAGCTGGCAAAAAACAAAATGTGGTATTAGAGATAGTAAAATTAGACTATCAGTTGAATTCAGAGCTTTTCCTCGTCTCTTATGTAAAAATTAGAGAATTGGTAGGGAAAGAGTATTTTGGCACCCTGAACACTAACTCCCATTGATAGCCCATTGACACTGAAGAATACACTATGAAAATTCCTTGTACCTCTTCTTAAAGGCACCCATCGTGACTTACCAGGGGAAGAATGCCCTGGGAAAATGGAAATGCTAAGATCTTTTCGAGGTTCTTAGACACAGCATTAAACACATTAATCTATTTTGCCCATTGGGAGGATTTTCTCTCTAAGACCTACTGGATGACTTGTGGAGCTCATGGGCAAAATAATGCCCCAAGAAGTCCAGTTTTCTCTTGTGCTTTGATAATAGTTTCAAATTGCCTTAAATGTCAACTTACCAGTATTTATGGCAAATAGCTGCCAGTTTGCCTAGAAACTAGATAAGGGATCTCAAAGGAACTGAACTGGAGGACTAGTGGCAGATTTTTTTTTTTTTTTTTTTGCGTGGGGAGATTGGGGAAGAGAAGCATGGAAGAATTTCTTAAAATAGGCTCAGAACATAAAGAATATTCATGCTTCATGTTAATCCAAAGGACATTTCTAGCCAAACAGCTCATAATATTTAGATGGATGAGCTAACCTAATCTCTCAATGTAGGTCATCTTCCTTCTATAGAAACTTTAGAATTTAATGAACAAAGTGACCATAGTTGAAAAGATAGCAGCTACTCAAGCACAACAACACAGGATTCCCTTTACCTGTGTACCAAGATATTTTACCAAAAGTAGTAAATGCAAACCTGTAATACTATAGGATAATTGTTTGGACAACTGTTTGCTTGGAATCAGTTGATGATTGTTTTACTGCTTTTGTTATGGAGAATTCATGTAATGCCTCAAGTCAGCATCATTATACCTTACACAACTGAATGCTTTATTCAATGTCACTGTATTTCTCATAATTTCTTCCAAACAAGGAACTCTATTTCCTATGAACAAATCAGGAAAACGGGATAATGCCCTTAGGTTTGTTTAGTCTTATATACTTTTTTGAAGAATAAGTTAGGTATCATGTCATAGGATATTACCTATGATTTGAAACATTTGAAACGTACACATTTCTATTTATTTCACAGTCAGTATACAATAGAATTGAAATTAGTACTTCTCCCAATTAAACCTAATTAATTATTCACAATATATTTATTCCTATCTCTGAAATAAAGGGAACTACTGGTTTAGAAACTAGTAATGTTCAAGGCAGAAATGTTACACCAGGGTATTCAGTGATGGTTCCATGGAGTAAACATTGCCAACTGGTCAATTCAGAATCTCGTGACCTGAGTCAGCAAACAATAAAATGGGTTAGTGTGTTGTATACGGTAATTGATATTGAAAGTCAAGAGGAAAGATAATTTATGATACATCAGGAAGGGTGGGTCTCCAGTTGGTTCCATGGGTAATTTTTATGTGACCATATTTATTTGTGAAAGATTGAACTATACAGATAAAACTAGTAAGAGTTCAGAACCCCTAGGAGTGAAGGATTTACATAAGTCTACTTCTCCTTTCTTTCAGTTGCTACTGTGGCAAGATCAAGACTGGATCTAGGAGATCTCGGTTCAATATGGAGATTATCCAAGGATTCTGGTGTTGGAGCTATATGCTGTAACTGAAGAGGGTTAAAATTGTCTCCTTTTGGGACATTGGTAAACTAGACTTTTGCTATGAGAGGAAGTTTCATGGTATAAGACAGGAAGTTTTTTTGATTAGAGTGGGCAAAAGATTTTATATGAATTCCAGGTTGCCAAAGAGATTATTGCTAGTGGGTATGTTGTGAACCTATCATACACATGTTTACCTTATTTGGGATGAAAATCCATACTATGGGCTGAGCGCGGTGGCTCACAACTGTAATTCCAATACTTTGGGAGGCTGAGGCGGATGGATCACGGGTCAGGAGATTGAGAAGATCCTGACCAACGTGATGAAACCCTGTCTCTACTAAAAATACAAAAGTTAGCTGGGCATGGTAGCATGTGTCTGTAGTCCCAGCTACTTCATTCCACTCCAGTCTGGGTGATAGAGCAAGACTCTGTAACAAAAAAAAAAAAAAAAAAAAAAAAAATCCTTGCTATGTAAATCATGGAGGAAGCAAGAATTTAAAGTCAGACTAACAAGGTCATATATTCTTCTTTGTTTCCCCTGGCACCCAGAGCAGGGCAACTGACCTAGGTTCAACCTACTGGATGGCCCACTTTGAATTTTCAGGAAGTGATACAAAATTTTAAAAAGGCCTATGAAAAATTATTGACTATCACTGTGTTCATGGCAGCTGTGCCCTGTGACAGTAGGTCACTACAGTGGTATTCAGGAACAACAGTGAGTGATTCCTGTGTTGTAACCAGGAAATTCCTCTAGTGGAAATTACCTGTATTTTCTGATGTTTGACCTTCCTATTTTCCCAAATATAGTTATCAAGCTTTTGAGTTAATTCTAGTATCTACTCAATAGGCTCCTGTCTATTGAAACTTTTCAGGATTCAAATCCAACTTCAACATTACCTCCAATCAAATGCTCTCCCTGGACTCTACATTGGTAATTGAAATGCCATTCTAAAAGCTTCAGATTATAGCTTCTGTCATGGCACTTCTCATATTTTGTTATAATTGTTTTCTTTGTCATGTTAATTTCCCAAGCAGAAAGTTGAAAGGACTAAAAGTTTCCTGTGGTTAAAACCATCTGGCCTCATATAAGGTTTGGTAAAGTAGGAATTCTACAACTGGGTTTCTAATCAATCAGTGTAGTTGACCTCTGGCTGTTACCTTACATGGTTATTAAGTTATTGCCTCTCAGCTCAGACTCTTTCTTCTACACTCTGCTGTGTGAAGCTGGACTAGAAATCTGCAAGCTTCATGTCTGCTTTGCCAGCTGCCTTCCTCTTAGTCTTGGCTAGTAGAAAGCACTAGAGGGAGCTGTAAGGATGGAAGAGGGAAAAGAGACTTGCTCCATCTTGTTTGTTTGGTGCTGGCTTCCCGTTTGCTTCCTGTCATTGAGCATCACCTTAGCCTCATCTCACCTCTTCCTGCTGGTAGCAGCAGTTTGTTTCTGTAGAATGTTTAATTGACTTTGCAGTTCTTCAGCATTTGCAGAATCAGTCTCAATGTGCTCCTGCAAAAACAGCAGCCCCTGATGCTGTCAATCAGGATTCCTCTTCAGAGGCCTGGGTCCTAGTCCCATAAGGTATTTCCCTCAAGCAAAGAGACACAAGCATGGGTGAAGCAGCATGCTTTCTCCGAGATCTGAGTTTCAGCTCTGCACAGACCCTCCTCCGAGATTGTATGTTTGCATACCCAGTCCTAGTAGGGTAACTGCAGCCTATAGAAACTCCTTCCATAACAATGCAATTATTTTTCTTTTTGCCATTTTAAGTCTTTAGTACCTAATTAACACTTATTTATATAAAAGCATTTCTGTTAAAATAACTGACTTGACTTTGTCTTATGAATGGATCCTGACTGATACACACTCATTCTAGGGTAGTATATGCAAAAGCATGCCTGATGGTACCCTGAACTGTTCTGGCCCATTTTAACCATAAGTAACCATGAAAAGTGCATCCTTCTTCATGTGATATATTGACTCAGAAAACTAGAAAAATTCAGATGCTTAGGCCAATTTGAATTGTATTTTCAGTATTCAAAATGAAAAGATGTAATGAGGATGTTCATGTTTTACTCTATTTTTGAATTGCTTATTTACAAAAATAATCATGTCAGGGTATTGCATAGAACAGGTTATGTACTCAAATTGGATAATTTGAGATACTTTGAGATGAAATTAATAAAATGATGATCTACAAAAGCTAGAGCAGGGTATAGAGAAATCAAAAGAGATTTCAATACCCCAGGGCCAGTTGTAATGGAGAGACCTGTTATCACCCTTATATCTGAAAGGACTAAAACCCATAGAGCGATTTGTGCAGCAAGAATCACCCGTCAAGAGCTGTGACCTTTGGCAGAGGTATACAATCAACCTGCAGAAAAGGAGCAAGGAAAATAAATTTTCCTACCTACCTCTGATCTCCTGCCAGGGATATCCATTAGCCAAGCTCAACTAGAAACTGCAGGGCAAGGGAAACACTTAATGTCATTCATAGAGATCATTGTCCTGTGGGTCTGCTGGGGAGAGGTGGAGGGCAGAAGATCTGAAGGAGTGAATGGAACACAGCTTCAAAAAATGGGTTAATTATAAGCATAAAAGAAATATTTTAAATAATGGAACATTTTCAGGAAGAAATCTTTTTGAATAAATGAGGAAAATATTCTGAGGGCAGGGAGGGAACGTGATGGGAAGAGAAGAGAACATTTACAAAGCATTTCTGGAAGCATAGAAGTTAAATATCAAAGAAAAACACTCTGTCATCTGAAAACATGAGAGGAATTGGAAATATAAGTGTTCTAAATAACATTTTTACTTTTAACAATAAATGCAGATTTTTAACACACTTTTATCTTGATTCTGGGAAGCATTTTAGTGCTCAGTAGCATTAAGAAACACTGAAACAGGTTGACAAATACCTCCAAACATATATAACATGTGTATGTATGTATGCTTTAACATTTCAAAATATAATGTGGTAAGTTTCAAAGCATTTATAATTAATTAAGCTGTTTTCACAGCCCTTTAGAAGAATATTTTTCCAGGAGAGCTGACTGCATAATGCTTTGCATGATTTATTTATAGACTACTAATGAAGACATATCTAATCATCATAATTAATTGGTATTTTTGTGCTTTGGGGCCTAATCACAAAATCTTTTACATGCTGGCTCAAAGTAAACCTGGCTATGGGGCAAATATTTAGGACAAACCCTGCTTGTTGTTTTTAATATACAGCTCCATTTGATTGATTTGTTTATTCAACATTTCTGACTCTGATTATACAATGCCAGAATAAGTGGCCCATTTGGTCAATTTAACTTTTTAAAATACTTTCTTAAACAAACAAAAAGAAGACAGAGGAATCATATTTGGCATAGTAGATAAAAACTTCAGTTTTTTACATTATTTATTGTGTTGTATTACTATCAGATAGCGATACTGTTTATAAGAATTTTGAATACCTTGAAGTGAAAGCAGAATTATTCTCTTCTAATTTACTTGTTAATTTTCCTTTCTCTTTTACTCATATGAAAAGTAATTTGAACTCACTGTTATGAGACAAATTAAGATTTTTGTTTTGTGTATTTTTTATAGCTATTGGGAGTTCCTGAGGAAAACTCTCAGAACACCCACTTTCATGTTTAGATACTGAAATAGTGAGAAATTACACCAAGAACAAAGGTGAATATCAAATATCTCTTTTATTTTGAACAGAGGCCAGTTTAGTATGTGGCTTTTATGCTTTTATATGCAGCAAGCACTAAAATTACACTGGTGTTTACTCTGTGTCCACAAACAGAAACATATAGAAGGCTGCCCGGGAAGAGCAGGGCAGAGCTTATATTCTCTTTGATCAGCTTCCCAGAGAAAAAGAAGGCCAGAGTGAAGCCAGGTATGTCCAGTTATTCTTTCCCAAATTTATAAATTTCTTAAATCACTCCACCTTCCATGGACAGAATGAGCAAAGAGAGGGGACTAGAGTTTTACTAATTAATCTCCTCTCAAAGAAGAGTTTCAGATTAAAGATTTCAGTCTATTAAAAGGAAAGAAGGAAAAACAAATGTTTTGTATTTTCCAATGGCTTTATTCAGTTTAAGTGATCCTTTGAATATTTTAGCGTTAAAATATTCTAAACATTTCATCTGATATATTTAATCCTATAATGAATCCCAAATATCACCTCAGTGTTTGCTTCAGGAACCCAATCTGTGACAGGTGCCCATTGTTTTATGAATATGAGCATGTTCTCCTTAAAAAGAGAAAATACTTCAAATAGATTATAAGATAATGATTGAATATTAATAATATAGTGATAAATTAGAATATAACATGATGTATTTAGTTTTTATTTGAAACTTATCTAAAGTTCTGAACCTTCCTTTGCTTTATAACTAAAACACCATTTATTTGAACTCCTGCAAAGGATAGTGAGTTTTCTGGATGGTGACTTCTACTGAAGTTTCTGGAATTGGAATAACTTTCCTAACTAAATTAGTATATTAACTAATTTTATTTTTTGTGACCCTTCTGTATCTATGATTTTGATTTAAACTGACTACCTAGTGATGCCACATAATTTACTTGCTTCTGCAAACATTCTGATTAAATCAGTCATTATGAAGCCCTTCTGAGAAGCCACTAAGACAAGAAAAAGTGAATATTCCATCAATAAAAGGAAATCAAAGTGAGAGATGGATAAATATCATTAGTATTAGTTAGTCTAATATAATTATTTAAAAATTTAAGCAATAGAAAAATATAGGGCCCAAAAAGATTGTATTTCTAAGTTAATGAATTTATGAACATGAGAATTGTATAACTGTTTGCATTAGCTTGGGCTGCTATTAAAAAAATCATAGACGTGATGACTTTAGAGCAGACATTTGTTTCTCAAATTTGGAAACTGGAAAGTCTAAATTGAAGGTGCCACTAAATACAATTTCTGGTAAAATTCTTCTTTCTGGCTTGTAGACAGCCATCTTCATCTTCATCCTGTTTCATAACACGACAGAGACAGATCAATTTTTGCTTTTCTTCTTCTTATAACACCAATAACTCCATCATGAGGGTCCCTCGTAACCACATGTAGCCCTAATTACCTCCCATTGTCTCCATCTCCAAATACCATCACATTGTGCATTAGGACTTCAACCTATGAGTTGAGTCTTAGGAAACTGAAATCAGTCCATAGCACCAGTCACAAAAAATATATATATATATATTTGAGATGAGCAGAAAAAATTTGCTTTTCAGATTATGGAGAAACACTTGGATTCCAGCAGATATCATCTTAGGAATGCTGAACTTAAGATAGAGAGACAGGGGGCTGAGTTCCATTGTGGGGCTGAATGCCTAAAACTCTTGAGATGGCTTAAAAAATGTCTGTAACTATACCTTCCTCAGGAATAAGATAGGGCTACTGAAGATCTTTCATTGGGTTGTGTGTATTTCTAAATGAGGTAAGATATATACTCTATGTGTCAAAACAATAATAGAAAATTAAAGGTAAGATATCACAACGTAATTTCTTCATTTCAGATACTGACACTATATATGTGTGTGTGTGTATACACACACCATACATATACATACACACACTATATATGTATACATATGTATATACACACTATATATGTATACACACACATATATGTATACACATATATGTATATACACACTATATATGTATATACACACTACATTTTAAAGGAATTATGAGAAAGATGGAGTATTTGAGAAATGAGCATTTTTGAGGAAAGAAGAGCTAGTCTATATGAAAGATGTTTAGGGAACTATATTTTAAGCCTTCCACCACTGACTGTCTTATGAACCTTTCCACAATCCTTATTGGATATTGTTCTTCCTGAGGAAGTTTGCTTTTCCTCTTTAAAATAAAACCTGTGACATTTTAAACTGTACTTTTGCATCCAATTGTTTGAACCATTTAAGTGGAGTTGATTGATTTCAGAAGCAGTGCTATTAAAAATGATGAGTAATTTGTTAAAGAAGGAAAACAAAACATGAGGGAGAAAAAACACAGGGTGAGACTGGGAAGAGAAATACAGAACATTGAGACCCCTGTGATGGCTTTAAAGCATTCGGTTAATTATTCCTTCCTGGAAGTTAAGATGAGAGCTACTGGCTCAAACGTGTGAGTGAGTGAGGACAAGGAGCACAAATAAACCTAACAGTAATTTATCTTACAAGTGTGAGAAAATACTGTCTCCGTAGAACGTATAATGTGTGTATTTCTTATTAAAGATTGATAGGTAACCTTTAGAAACTGTGCCCAATTAGCATTAGAAATTGATAGTGTGGGTCAGGTGGATGACTCACGCCTGTAATCCCAGCACTTTGGTAGGCTGAGGCGGGAGGATTACCCGCGGTTAGGAGCTGGAGACCAACCTGTCCATCATGGTGAAACCCCGTCTCTACTAAAAACTACAAAAATTAGCTGGGTGTTGTGGTGGGCCCCTGTAATCCCAGCTACCTGGGAGGCTGAGGCAGGAGAGTTGCTGGAACCTGGGAGGCGGAGGTTGCAGTGAGCCGAGATCATGCCATTGCACTCCAGCATGGGTGACAGAGTGAAACTCTGTCTTAAAGAAACAAAAAGAAAAAGAAATTGATAGTGTGGGCTGGTTGTGGTGGCTCACGCCTGTAATTGTAGCACTTTGGGAGGCTGAAGCAGGCAATCACGTGAGGTCAGGGGTTCGAGACCAGCCTTGCCAACATGGTGAAATCCCGTCTCTACTAAAAAAAAAAAAAAAAAAAAAAAAAAAAAAAAATAGCTGGATGTGGTGGCACATATCTGTAATCCCAACTACTTGGTAGGCTGAGGTAGGGGAATCACTTGAACTCAGGAGGCAGAGGTTGCAGTGAGTGGAGATCATGCCATTGCACTCCAGCCTATGTGACAAGAGTGAAACTTTATCTAAAAAAAAATAATAATAAAAAAGAAAGAAATTGATAGTGTGACACAGCACATTCTTGATTAATACTAAAAGTGTGTATATATATATATATATTTTTTTGAGACAGAGTCTAAAAGCATATATTTTCTAAATGAACACTTCCCTTATTTTTTATTAAAAATACACATTTTCTCCACTTCCACACTGTATAGTTTACTGTGTTAAACATTTGTCCACCATTTTTTTAAAGGATGTAGAATATACAAAAAAACTCTTCAGAGCTTGAAATGTGCATAGGAGATAGACAAGTGTAGCTACTGCAGGATGAAAAGACTTGATGTGTTTTATGCCATGTTTATTTATTCCAACTATAAAAACAGAAATGATCCGCAAAGTAGTTTGATGGATAATGACTGAGGTTGTAAAAGTTATTGTGACTAATGGTATTTACCTTGTTTGGTTAAGTTAATTGAAAATCAAGGTGAAATTACCTTCTAGATAGCTCCTATATTTTATAACATTTGTAAAATCATAAAAAGGTTATGCCATCCTCAATTCTCAAAAAAATTATATTGTTTTTGAAACTGTCAGAACGTATTTTCCAACTGTATTACAGAAACAGGTAAACAATCTGATATGATGACCTAATTGTTTTTATGTTTGGCCATTACAAGTGTTGGCAGTTCCCTGGCTTCTGTTTGGAAGTAGTGTGTCAGTTGCATCTTATAATATGTTTGCCTTTGGTGAGGCATCAGAAAACATGTCACATATTGGAGATTTATGTACTATAAAACGTCTCAGGAGCTTAACTTCACCATTAGGGTTACTCCTGTATAAACTTTGATAAAAGTAATATCTTTGCTCCCTCCCAAGATAAATGAAAGAATTTAAGCCCACTTTGAGAATTCTAAGCTTTTGTGGTCAGTCTTCTTTTGTCCTCCAAGTTTGTAATTAATAGGGTTTAAACAAAGCTGTAATCTGGTGGATAGTTTGAGCTTTTGACTTAATCGATCAGTTGGAAAATTATTAGCTAGTTCCTTTACTTTACTTTTACCCCACCCCAGGATTTAGCTGTCTATCTGAGTAACATATTTGCTTGGTTTTATGTATTAGCATACTCTCAGTTGAAAAAGCAAATCCGAATATGCACAATTGATAAAGCACTTGCACAATAAAAGGGGTCATAAAAGTATTTATAATGCTTCTGAGATGTATTAGTCAATAAAATGAGTTATTCATTGAAATTTAATAGGGTGCAATCTCAGATGGAGTGCAAGCTCCTATTGAAAAATTGACACATTTTCTTGCTGGAGGGAAGGATACATGTACGTCTAGCACTATGCAAGTTGTAAGGATGCTGGGAAGCTGGCAACTGGATGGAATCCTGAATCACATCTTACACAGCTGCTGCTTCACTTTCTCTAAGAGCAAGGCTATGCTGATTAAGCCATAAGCATTTGCAAAGATTTTTTTTATTTTCTTTTATTATTTTCTGGCCATCTGTAAATCATAGAAGAACAGGAATAGGTGGCTTTGTTCCTTCAGCAACAGATCACCAATCCAAATACTCCTCTCTCACATCAAATTTTGCCCTGGTCAAACTCTTTTCTATTCCTCAATCAAATTCTACAGTTTCTTTTTTCTTGCTCTAAAATGACTTTTATCAAATGTTCATTTATCAAAAGGCATCAGTAACCATTTTTTTTCATTTAAACCTTTACTTATCACTTTAATTTAACTTGTTCTTACATATTTATAAATTGTTAGAATGCTTTACCTATATTATTGGAATTTTTCACATATAACCTTGCTAACTTATTGTAGTTATTTAAAAGACATATCTCTAAATTCTTTGATACTCCTCATTGCAAAATACACAGCTTAATTCATTTCCTTTTGAGTGAGGACTAGACTTAGTTATTCTTTTCTAGTGAATAGCATATGGCAGAAGTAATAAGATTTCACTTGCAAGATTATGTTA